TATATATATAAATATTTTCTTTCAATGGCAAGTTGTTATAGCAACTGTCTTACCCCAAGTTTTAACTCCCACCTTATTGGAATTAATGTCTCATTGATTAAAGTTAATTTCTCTGTAATATTCCCCACCCCCATAAACACAGTCTTAACAAAAACTAATTTAAGAGACAAATCACTGAAGAGTTTACTAAAACCTTTTATTTTCAAAGCATATTCTAAGGCACTGCCCAATTCCTGGCCTGACCAAGTCATTCTTCAACTACTTATACTCAATATAGGGAAAAAAACTCACACACTTCAATAGATTACATTCCTGAATTGCAGTTAAGACAGACAAGGGTACAAGTACGCTTGGCTGGAAGGCAAAATGAGAAAACTTTACTAAACACTCATGTGCATTCATGTGTAAAGTCCAAACAATGGTTCTACCTGCATCTTTATAGGTAATGGCACCACAGAAAGACAAGTCTAAACACATTTGAGGTACTTTACCTCTCCCTGAGAATTTTTCAGTACAACCTTCACATCTTCACCAGTGCCCCAAGAATTCTGGTTCTTCCAGATGAGGTCAGTGCGAGGGTTAGTAATTACTCCAGCATTTGCAGCCCAGACCTATTAAAAGAATTCACATACAAAGCATTATTTGCTAGCCTTACACATTGCCATGTTATTTACTGAGTTATTTAAGTGATACTGGTCAATCTCCTCCAGTTAAGAAAATACAAGCCTACTGACTTCCAAAGTTTCTTTCAAAAAAACACCTCTACATTTTTTAATACAGAGACTTTTGTATATGTAAATGCATCTGATTATGGCCAAAATTATTGCTCCATACAGAAAGCAAGTTCCTGAAAAAAGTAGTCTGTCCAACTTCTTCCCAGTAACTGATTAATGCCCAATACAAATGTAGGTGTTTATTTTCTGAACATGTAAATAGAAAGCACAAAACCAAAGACCTTGTGTCTCACTGACACACACAAGTTGGCATGAAGTCCATTTCAACTGAAGAGCTGAAGATTGACAACTTACTGTAACAGTTTGGCCTGCCTTTAGTATATATCTTGAGGTATATCTGTAACTAGCAGAAGTGTCTCCTATTTTTCGGATCATCTCCCAACCTCCCATAGGTTGATCCTAATAAAAAGGAGAAAAAAATTTCCATTAGCAGTCATGTTCTATAATACATGTAGGATATTTTACATATAAGGCCATGAAGCACAGAAAATTTTCAGTATAAGCATTTATTATCACTTGATCTTCAGCAAGCAGTTGGAATAATTTTAGTTAAATCTGTCTTACCTCTATTTCAAGTTAAAGCTTAATACATCCTGCTTTTCAGTTGTGATGTTATATTAACTAATGCTTACAATTTGCATCAGTTTTGTTATAGCTTCATCAAGAAAAATACATAAATATTAAAATCCTCTTATAAATGTATAATAGTTTTTGAAGCACAGAATGATGATCAGACTTCTTAGAAAACAAAATATTTCTGTCACTATTCTTAAAATGTGTTTCTACATAGGCACACCTTCCACAAATACTCCTTTACTAGACCTACATTATTTTTTCCTTTCAATAACTTTTTGCCTATCAACTACTTGAAAAGCACTAGCAAATCTAATAGAAAACCATATACAAGTCATCACTACAGAATGAGTATTTCAAAACAAGAACAGATCTTTTTTAAATTCTCCCACCAACAAACAGTTTACAAACATTAAACAGTTGCCACTGGAGTCTGAAACCAGACAGTTAAGATAATCTAAAATAAACAATCTTCTTTATCTTAATGGATGCTGACATTCAGTTGGTCATTACAACAAAATATACCATACTTAAAGAGGATTTTACATATTTCCTATCTATTTATAGATACACATACACACATACATTAAAAAAAAAAACAAAACCCACCAACTAACTGTCAAACAATTGTGAAAATTCCCCAAGTTTATTACACTGCCCTACAGACAGCTGCTCAAATCTAGACCCCTGGCAAAGTGCTATAACCATTAACTACTGGTAACAGAAATGATGGTCCTTCCATGGAAAAATGACGGTGTAGTCAAATTAAATAAAAGGTGGGGGAAACCCACGTGGTACAAAGTGTGTGGGGGAGATCCCATAAGCTCAAAAAGGAAAAAAATGGCAGGTCCTGGCTCAAAAGAAGTAGTCTTTGTCTGAATTTAGTTATCTAAATGCTTAGCTGTCTAGACCAAGACAGTTGTCAAGGTTTCTTCCATTCAGTAAATGAAGTCAGCACTCTCAGCCAACACCCCAGACAGGTAATTACAATACATAGGTATCACCATCTGGAAGAGTCTGTCCATCTCTTAATTGATTAGAAGGGACTGAGACAGTTGGAACCACCCCAATCTTTGTTATCTAAAACATCAAGATGAGCTGCCTTTTACTGAAGGTAAGGAATCTGATGACATTAAACAAAGTGTATGTGTCACTGAAAACCAAGAATGCAGCTAACACTTCTACTCACAGCTGAGGCACAGACAGCACAGGAGAAGACAAGAATTACTTAGACCTTCTCTGAAATCAATGCTGCAAGAAGTCAGATCTTGTAATTCTGATGTCCTAAGGAGACAATTCTGTCTTCTCCCAGAAAAAAGATTTAAGAAATTACAGCCCCCAGTCTCCAATCCCTCCTGATGACTCACAGAACCGTATATAGCATAGGACTTTTTTCTTAAGCAGAAATTACAAGTAATGTTGGGGCAGGGAAGAGCAGGGTGGAAAACATACTGCATGTAACAGCAACAGTCAGAGGGCAACATAAGGAAAAGTTTTGATTATTACTCAAATGAAGTACCCTTTGATAAACAGTTATGTGTGTTCCCCCCAGTACAAACTCCAACCTGTTCATAGAATCACACACACAGAATCACAGAATGTTAGGGACTGGAAGGGACCTCGAAAGATCATCTAAAATAATCTGAGTAGCCATCTATATTGGGGAGAAGCTGCTAGAAGCTTCCCCTATGTTCAATAGAGCAAATGCCAGCCGGCTCCAAGGCAGACCCACCACTGGCCAAGGCCAAGCCCATCAGTAACGCCTCTGATAAGAAAAAAAAAGGGGAAGAGAAAAAGAAAACAGCTGCACACTTTGAAGAAGAAGGGTGAGGAGGTGCTCCAGGTGCCAGAGCAGAGATTCCCCTGCAGCCCGTGGTGAAGACCATGGCGAGGCAGGTTGTCCCCATGCAGCCCATGAAGGTCCATGGTGGAGCAGATGACCACCTGTAGCCCATGGAGTACCCCACACCGGAGCAAGTGGAGGCCCGAAGGAGGCTGCGACCACGTGAGAAGCCCGCGCTGGAGCAGGTTCCTGGCAGGACTTGTGACCCTGTGGGGGACCCGCACTGGAGCGGCCTGTTCCTGAAGGACTGCACCCCCTGGAAAGGGCCCAGGCTGGAGCAGTTCATGAAGAACTGTAGCCCATGGGAAGGACTCATGTTGGAGAAGTTTGTGGAGGGCTCTCCTGTGAGAGGGACCCCACACTGGTGCGGGGGAAGGAGTCCTCCCCCTCAGGAGGAAGGAGCAGATACAACGTGTGATGAACTGACCCCAACCCCTATTCCCTATCCCCCCATGCCACTGGAGGGTAGAGATGGAAATCAGGAGAAAAGTGAGGCCCAGGAAGAAGAGAGGGGTGGGGGAGGTGTTTTAAGATTTGGTTTTACTTCTCATTATCCTCTTGTCTGATTGGTAATAAATTTATTTTTTTTTCCCCCAAGTCGAGTCTGTTTTGCCCGTGCCAGTAATTGGTGAGTGATCTCTCGCTGTCCTTATCTCCACCCACGAGCCTTTCGTTATGTTTTTTCCCCCTGCCCAGCTGAGTTGCATTAGTATGTATTTCTTTTGGGGCTTTTTAAGGCAGAGAAAGCTCTTAAAAGGGTTCTGAAGTAGCCCAATTTCTGCTTGCACTATTTCCTATTAGAGACAACATTATTTGTAAAGCTTTACAAGGCATACCCCTTGCAAGGCAGAACTCTGAAAAGTTATGTTAAAACTTCAGTGAATGGGCAATCTAGCAATAAAACAATTGTTATGAAAAGGATTAAAAGTCATGAGGAAGAAGTCATCATCAATCCAGAATATTGTATGAAAGCTTATTTTGTGACAGAGTAGTTTTAGTGCCATCTCTTATACAGTGTGCTTTAGCTCCAGGGTCAAGACGAAAGGGTGCTGCGGATGCCTTCTACTTGTAATCAGGCCATTGTAAAGTTCATGATATGTGTGCATTTTCAAACCTGTTCAGAGGTGTTCTTCAAGCGGATAAATTTTCCATTAATGTCTATCTCCTCAATAGAGACCCTGCCAGTGGCAGAAGCTGAGTGGGAAATCCTAACACTACTGCTGACTTCAGATTCCTCCACATCAATCCTCTTCCTCTTCCCTCTGGTTGTATGCACACTATGGCTCGATGAAGCCTGTGAAACTGTCACTCGGGAAGATGGACTTGGAGAAAGTCTCAATCTATATTGAAGGAAGGAAGAAATACACATACATCACACTTCAGTTTTACTTTTCCACCTTTTAAAATAAACTTTCTTCCTCTCTCTCCTCTTCTTTCCATAGAATTATACGGCAAAGAGGTACAGGAATATAGTAGATGAAGCATGTTACATGAAAAAGTAAAGCCTTAGCTACTTTTTGAAGAATTGAATGAAATGTCAAACAGCTGATTAATGCTCCTGGAACACAGAATACTGATGGACTACTACATTAAGACCATAGAGGCATCTCTATGTATTTGTTAAAGACTACGTTCCTGGGTAGATGGAACATGTAAAGAAAAAATTCATAAGCAGACTTAAGCCACTGTAGGAAATTTATGCAAAAACCTAATGGCACAAGAGCTTTTGCTGTTTCATTCCCACACTTGACAGGAATCAGCCTGGACCAGTACAATCTCATTCAGAAAACAGTGAAATATGGAACTACTTTAAATGACAGCTCTGACTTATCAGGCTAAAGTTCTCAGTATTGCTGAACTCTGGGGCTGGATATGGAAAATGCAGCTAAGCTGGTAAGCTGGGCAATCATAACAGCTATTACTTTACTGAAGTTATTCTATACTTAAAGAAATTTGGGTAACAATTAAATAACCCTATAACTAACTATGAAAAAGAGTACTAACCATAGCACCAAACAGACCTACAAATGACAATTCATTACATCATTAGTGCAAAATCTTAATGGTATTTGTTCCCTTGACAGCTATTGGTCTGATACTCAAGCAGCTTGGTCTCGTGGAGCCGTAGAAGTGTGTCAGACAGGAGGAGACAAAAAACAAACAGTGCCTTGGTAACTGTAGTAAAGCACCCAATCACAGAATGTTAGGGATTGGAAGGGACCTCAAAAGATCATCTAGTCCTACCCCCCTGCCAGAGCAGGATCACCTACAGTAGGTCACACAGGAACGCATCCAGGCAGGTTTCGAACATCTCCAGAGAAGGAGACTCCACAACCTCCCTGGGCAGCCTGTTCCAGGGCTCTGTCACCCTCACTGTAAAGAAGTTTCTTCTGGAGTTTAAGCAGAACCTCCTGTGTTCCAGCTTGCACCCGCTGCCCCTTGTTCTACTGTTGGATATCATTGAGAAGAGCCTGGTTCCATCCTCGTGACACTCACCCTTAACATATTCATAAACATTAATGAGGTCACCCCTCAGTCTCCTCTTCTCCCAGCTAAAGAGACCCAGCTCCCTCAGCCTTTCCTCATAAGGGAGATGCTCCACTCCCTTAATCATCTTTGTGGCTCTGCACTGGACTCTTTCAAGCAGTTCCTTGTCCTTCTTGAACTGTGGGGCATTCCCAATAAGAACTGCCTTTTAACAGAGAGTAAGACAAGGGAAGCATGCAGATACCAGCATTTGTTGCTACATTCTTTCATACCTCTCCTCTTTGTCCTCCATCAGTTTCCGGTATACATTGATCTCCATACGAAGTGCAAGGTTAACATCCACAAGTTGTCCATAGTCACTCAGCTGCTCCTGCATCCGATTTCTCATCTCTGCCATTTCCTTCTCTTTCTCAGACAGTAGTTTGTGATGGTTTTGCCGTTCCTTGGCCAAGGTGTCCTCAAGCTGTAGCGCTCTATCTTGCCATACTCTAGACTAGAAAGCATTGAAAACATCAATGGTACAAAGGAAAGCGCACCCAAACCTCCATGCATTCTGCTATTCAGGCAACATGCAATGCAAAACATGAGGTTAAGCATCCTCCCCTGCTTTCTGAATTCAATCTCACTCATATTCAGCTTCTAGTTCTCCACCTCATCTACTACAAACATAACACTTTAAGTTCCTATGAAACTTACAACATACTTTGAAAGACAGCTACGTGCTCTATCTTTCTGAGATCTGAAGAGATGTTACTACATCCGAATTTACTTAGTCAAGAAAAATTGAGCTTAATTGTTAAAGTGTTTGAGACATACTGGACAGCACACAGAATCAAAGCACAGCTCAGTGTACTTCAGATCCTGTGGTAAGTAATTACTCTTCAGCTTGCAGACGTCTACTTCCTGCTTCAGTTTACTGCTGTTAATTCTTAATTCTGGGAGGGAATTTGTCTAAAGGAATATGGGTTGTTGTCAGTGAAAAGTCCGTCTGCCTGTTACCAAAGCCTTCCAGGCTTGCTGGAAGTACAGTGATAAGTGTTCCATGAAGAAAGCTACCTTGTCACACACTTTAAAAAACACATAAAGTTAGTAGAACTTAATATGGTACATACAGAATGGAATGCTTATCAAAGAAAGGCCAAACAATGACAACTTTAAGGTTGACTTTCCTTAAGCATGCTTTCTTCTGTTTGATAGTCTCTTGAGATTTTCCAAATTAAAGTACAGACACAGGAACCGATGCCCCACAATCACCTTGTCTGGTTAAGTCATCAAGTTTGCTATGTAGGCACTCTATTTGGGAAGTCATCATAGTCCAGAGACAATGAAAACAGGCAGTCTAAAAGGCTGACACAGAGGACCAGTGTAAGTGGTTGTCAATGCTGAGAGTCAGACAAGGAATTTAATAAAAGGAGTTGAGTGTCATAGAGAAGATCTTGGTGGAAACTACTACAAAGCGCAGTGTTAGTAACTCAGACCAGACCAGCATCAGTGATAAGACAGTTGTCTTCTTCCAAGAGAAAAAAGCTAAAGTTAGTGCTAGCAAATGGAAAACAAAACTCTACTGGCTGACATCACTAGCACTGCCAAAAAACCCAAAGAGACCCACAGCAGCAAAATGGGTTTGTTGGTGGACAATTACAGTCAAACTGACAGAAGCTGATTTTGATAGCCCTGAAACTAACAACCAACGTCTCTGCAAATTCAGAAGCAAGTTCTCTGAACATAAGTTGTCACTCCCAATACAAGCAATAGAACATAACTAGAGAAAGAAAGAAGAAACCCTCAGAAATACCTGTTGACCACCAAAAGAAAAACGATGGTAATCTAAAGGCAGAAGTAAGATCTAAGTAGATAAAACTCCCAATCCAATTCTCATGTAACCTCATGCACAGTCATTACATCACCTGATTTTGCCCAGAGACTTAGTGGTGAACTTGGCAATGCCAGGTTTACAGTTGGACTAGATGATTGTAATGGTCTTTTCCCACCAAACTATTCTGTGATTCTATGACTAACTTTCTTATATGACAGAAAAACTGGGAAGACTCATACTAGTATCTGCCAAGTTATTTGGAAAACTATTAAATAAAAACCCCTCCATTTATGTTCTTCACTTGAAATACACATAATTTTGAAGTCCTACAAGAGTCTACTGTACAGGAAGAACAGAATTAAAAATGTATTGCAGAAAGGACCAAAGCCAATTTTTACTAATATTTTACATTTTTTTTTTTTAATAAATGTTTTGTTGCATTTTCAGCTGATTATTAAGTTACAAAAAGCCCACTTCAGAACCAACTCTTAACATTTCTCATTTTTACTCTAGATTTTCCACTGCAGTGCATATGATGTTACTCCTCCCAAATACACTAGTACGGAAAATAAGGCTTGTCATAGCTTGTGTCATACTTATTCAGATGTGATCTATGTGCGCTGTGATCTGACTAAGTCTAAGTAGCTTCTGCTCAAGACCTTGCTTTACAAATGCTGAAGTACAGCTATTTAATGTATTTTCTCAGTCTCTCTTTTCACTCTATTCTGGTAAGACAACTTTTTTTTTTTTTTTAAAGAGTTCTAGATGCAAACTGAATCTGGGATAAAAAAAGAAACTAAACTGACAGACTGCATATTCCAGCTTTGGCTTTGAATGTTGCTTTGTGGATGCTAGGCTGCCCAATTACTACAGAACAGAATGAAATTGCTTAGAATGTCAAGAACTTTTAATATAGACCTCCTGTCTCAAATTGTCCTATCTACCTGCAAATGCTTCAAATGCTTCTGCAAAAGCCAGTTAACAGTACCACCTTTCAAATACCCATTCTGCCGCACGATACAGCACAAAAAAATTCAACATTGTTGAAAGAAGACATTAAGAAATTTGAAAAAGTACAGAACAGAAGAACAGAAGACAAATTCAAGTCATGATGCTGAAAATACTTATAAGTTAAGGGAAAGAAAGCCCTTCAAGATAAAAATCAACAAGTGTAATTAGCATGACTGAGGAGTCACAAACAGCTTGTTACCTCTTTCTGAAGGCTGGTGAGATAGGAAGACAGAGTTTCAATTCCTCTGTGACTTTCATTCAGTTCTTCTCTTAATGAGTTGACTGCAGAATTGCTCATCTCAGAGGATAGTTTAGCATTCTCAAGCTGCAGCAGACAAAGTTAAGACATCAGTTTCAAAGTAATTTTTATTAAAAGAAAAATTAGTCACTAAAAACCACACACAACAGTAAGCTGCAAAGTTCCTCCCTGCAGCTCTAACACAACGTAACATCTCTTTCTTTAGGGGTTAAATATGGTGGCTCAATTGCCATGCTGGTTTGCCCTAACTGAAATCGTAGTTCTCTGAGTATTTATTCTAGGATTAAAAACTTAAAATGTCTACAGCTTCCTCTGTAGACATTACTGAAGTAGGGCTGCTAAGTTCAGTTTTCATGCTGGCCAATGTTTAGCTTTATATATTTAATAACTATAGCACTGTTTTTGAGTATGCTTAAATAGAAGCCAAACTGAAATTACCAGTTCTCTAAAAACAACCAAACTTATGTTAATTTTCAGCCAACACAAGTGAATTGGTAATGTGCCTTCAGATTACAGTACCAGTGCTATGAGCCACTACTGCTTCACCCTACCACAACTTCAAGCTCAAATAATTTTTTAAATTGGCTACATCATTTTTTGCTGAACACTACCACATTCACTTGAGCAGCACCACAGACTTATTATTGAACTTGTAGTTGCAGACGAAATGGAATCCGAAAAAAACAATCCTTTAAAATAAGAGTCCAAAAATACAGAAACAGTATACCTGAAGAGGCAGAACAAGAAAGCCTCAATTATGAAAGGATTTTTAGACTAGAAAGTATAAAAATATTTTTGGCTAGATCTTACTTTAAGTAAGTTTTTCCAAGTCAGATTGAAGCCCTAAACATAAGCAACTGCACACTGTTAATTCTGTAAAGACTGAAAAGACTGAAAACTATGCTAATCTTAGCACAGAGCCACCAAGATGATTAAGGGAGTGGAGCATCTCCCTCATGAGGAAAGGCTGAGGGAGCTGGGTCTCTTTAGTTTGGAGGAGACTGAGGGGTGACTTCATTAATGTTTATAAATATGTTAAGGGCAAATGTCACGAGGGTGGAGCCAGGCTCTTCTCAGTGAAGCCCGATGATAGGACAAGGGGCAGTGGGTGTAAGCTGGGACACAGGAGGTTCCGCTTAAACTTGAGAAGAAACTTCTTCACAGTGAGGGTGACAGAGCACTGGAACAGGCTGCCCAGGGAGGTTGTGGAGTCTCCTTCTCTGGAGACATTCAAAACCCGCCTGGACGCCTTCCTGTGTGATCTCATTTAGGTTCCTGCTCCGGCAGGGGGATTGGACTAGATGATCTTTTGAGGTCCCTTCCAATCCCTAACATTCTGTGATTCTGTGATCAATTCAGTTTGTATCAACTTTTCTTCTTTATCATCATACCTTGTTTTTAAAAATACTAATGCTAACGTATGGTCACAGAAACCAGGTTCAGTTGAGACATCAGGATCCCTCCTGACAGAAATGCTGAATCATAGCAGAGGAAGGAAATTATGAAGTATAGCTGATTTCAGCCTGAGTATGCTTCCTCTCCAGAAAAGTGAAAAACAGCAGTCATTGGGTGTGGTAAGACTTCCACATTTTGTACAGGGTCAGAGGACTCAGGATGCTGTCTTCTCTGCAAGACCTATTATGAATTAAGTTTTATACAAAATATGGGAAATCTTGTTGATCATCCAGGTTATGTTACAGTTGATACCTAACAACACACATTTTCCTTGAATTCCTCATGATTCCAGTATTAATCACATTTTCCCTGCAGTTCACCTTCACACAGTGCCTCCTACTCTTAATATTATTGAACTTCCTGAGGATTAAAATTGCTTCCAAAATGAGACCTGAAAATGCAAATTCACATTCAAAAATGTGGTAATTTTTTAAAGCAAGTTCCGTAATAAAACTCTCTGAAATGCAAGTTATTAGGGTATCTTTCAATTAAATAAAGCAAAAATAAACTACATCAGACAGCTGTATGAAAAGATGTTCTGACTTTGTTACGGTAAGTCTGTTCTAGCTCTTCTTTGTACAGCTTCGCTTGAGCATCACACTGCTCTCTTATTTCACTGAGGTCTTGGGTTAGCTTATGTTTGTATTCAATTTGACACTCAGAATCAACCTCAACTAAGCGAGTTTCATGTTTCCTTGTTTCATTGATTTCCGAAGAAAAGTAGAAAAATAAAATAACATTCAGTAAATGAGACAAAACAAGTTTTAGAAGATTATTGACTAAGCAGATAGCAATGCAGATTTAGCTAGCCTCGTGGATCAGCATCAGATTAGTTTGACATTGAAACTTTCAGTGGAAACACGGGGCTATTTCCCTAGTCTGATCTGCATAGCACCTTATTTTGCAATAGCCAGTCACTGAAATAAAAGCTAGGATACCATCGGCATGTAAAGCCACATTTTCTTCTAATACTTATCTGCTTCTTCAACAAATACACTTCCATTTGATTAGATTTCAGAAATACATCGCCCCTTTCTTTAGCTATCTTCTATGCTTGCACAAAGTGAAAGTACTGTGAAATTAAACAGTCACATTCACTAACCAGCATTTTCCCCATTCATTTGTATGCTTTCCTGTGGTCTCTGGAAAAAAGGATTCCAACAACCTAAACAAAGCTGAAAATACAACTAGCAAGGAAATGTCCACACAGAACAAAAGACAGCAAGCATGGTTAGTTACATTTCTTAATGCTCTAAGGTTCCTCCTGTAAAGCCTCAAGTACTACAAGTTAAAGGGAAGGTGACAAGAAAAAGCTCTGAAAGACTAATGGAAACAGAAGTTGATTAATATTTTTCAAAAGCATCCTATTAGGAAGTTCTGAAATTCAAAACCAGTACAAATCCATCTGTTTGAGTGCTCTTCTCCACTTTATTTCTCATACAGGGATTATCTGAGATATTATTAACCTACTTTCTCATTACTATGAAAATATGTGTATATTACAATACCATGGGCAGAATTTAACAACAAGATACATTAGGCTATTTTATCAGAAGAGTTCTGAGTTAACATCATTTTTCCTAGGAAAAAAGGTTGGAAATCTGCTCTGAGTGGGAGTTCAGACCAGATAACTTCCTGAGGTCCCTCCCAATCTAAATTATTATAGTATTCTAGAATGAGCCCCTAGCTGTCTTCTTCCCTTTAAAAATGTGAATTATTGAGACTAAAGCATTTACCTCCTCATACATATTTTTATGGAATTCCAATTCCTCAGTGAGACTCTGACAACGGTTTTCAAGATCCACTTTCAGCAAGATTTCATTTGCAAGCTGTTTCTTGGTAGCAGCTAAAGAAGTTTCACACTTCGAGAAAAAGAAACAAAAGAATCAACATAATAATGATTGTGTAATATAATTTGTATAATTTAATTACCTCAGGTGCCTAAAAGCATGGCTAACTCCATGTTATGGTTGAAACTGATGATCAAATCCAACATTTCCACCACTAACACCCCACCCCCCTTTTGCAACTGCTTGCACAAGTGAGTTCTAGATATTTCACATTGGTAATTAGCACTAAAATGCTACTTATCAGTTTTTCCTCCCAACACTTTGTTTTTTCTACATAGCAAATACTAGTTTCCTGGTCTCTTGAACTCATCCTCTTGAGGGTAGTGTTGCTTAAGATCACAAATTACGTGTTTCAAAGGGTGAACAAAACTAGCACAAGACTTTCCCTCCCCCTGCCCCACTTCTTTGTTCTGTCAGACACCCAGGAGATACAGGCAGAACCAAAAGGAAAGCAGAGAGAATCACAAACTGTTACTTGTCAATTATTCATTATTTGTATTTTTTATGTCAGCCTCTCCACCTAAACAGTTCTACAATTTGTAAAGTTTATTTTGACTCCTGACCTGTCTTCTTCAACATAAGTACAATCCCTTGCAATTTAAGAGTCTGCAGTTTTAAAAGCACTCTATTCCACCATTCATGTATTAATAAACTGAACCCTACTTGACACACACACCTACTCAATACTGCTTCCAATGTTGACAGTGAACCACAGTTTGTTCTAGTTGTAAGGAGATGACAGGTTTGCATCCATTTATTGGCTACAAGGTTGCATTTTACCAGAAAGACAACTCTTACTACAGATGTATTATATATGAAAACACCTAATTTGCTGACAGAAGCTTAATGGTTAAATATTTCTTCTCACCTGTACAATTTGATCTTTTAAATCCTCATTTTCTACCTCCAGACTTTTCTTCTCACCTAGGGCTGTGGCCAGTGCAGCTTCTTTAGAATTTAAGGCTGCTTCGAACTCTTGAAGTTTGACTTGGGCTCTATTAAGATCAGATTCCTTTTTTGCGTAGCTGGAATATACCAGAGAAAGTCGTAAGAAAGTCTAGGAACAGCCCCCAAGTAGACTGCTGACAAATAAGGTGCATTCTGAATCCTGAACACGAAACAGACCCAAAAATATTTTGTCTTGGCTTAATTTACTCTAATTTAAATCAACTCCTTCGTTCTGCTTTCTGATCTGGTCTAACAATAGCTTAATATTTTGCTTGGGCTGTAGAAACCTAAATCCAGGGGAAACTCACAGTGTCAAGCAAATATGAAAGGCATGCACAGAAAGAGGACACTGTGTGTTTATTAAAGGAACCTTTTGTTTACTCTTTAGCTAGTCACTGTAAAAACATCCTACGCTCACCACAATCTTAATAGGAAGAAATAAGTTCTCCAATCAGAAGGCTCTCTCCATAGAGCGGAAACAAGTAAGCTATCTTCATTGCCTTGTAACCACGGAGGAACTCGTGCAGATCCACTGTCTGGGCTGCAAATCGCCCATTTCCAATTGGCAGATCAACTGCTCAATGAAAATTTGTGTTCACTATCTGTAAGTCAGTCTTCCATAAGCAGAAGCCACAGCACAGTGAACTGCTTTGCAGCACCCGTGTAATCATACACAACAGCAAAGTTCCACAGATCTGAGGAAAGACACCCAAACCCTGTCCGTACAATAGTCTGTGTCACGACTGGAACTGCACTGGTGCAGAGGTGTTGTTCTTTACAAAAGCAAACACACAAGCTTTTCACATTACCACACAAATTAGATTTTGTGCCTACACAAGTGGTGAAACAGTTTATAGGGGTTTATTCCCTAAAACAGCAAAGTAGTCACATGAGAAAAGCTAAGTAATGCCACAAACACAAACTCACACTCTTCAGACTAAATGAATTATTCACAAATAATGCTACAACAAGCTACTATGAAAAATAGAGGAAAGGAAAAAACACACTCAGTAATCAAAATGACTGTCGGCCTTTAGATGGCACAAGCATCTGTATTTAAATGTGTAACACAAGTTCTCCCACCTTGAAGTGGGAGAGATTCTTTTTCTCTTGGGAATACTAACATTTCTCTAGTTAAGACAGCAGCATATAGAAGTTCTAGATGTTTATAATCAAACTATGAACATTTTACAGGAATGGATGGATTCAGACTCAATAAGACAAAGCTAGCACATTCTTCTCCAGTTTTCACACTTCTCTTTGTAGAAGTGAAAAAAAAAATCAGAATTCACAGCACAGACTGAAAATTGTATAAAGATTCTTAAGAGCAAGATTCAAAAGTGTTAAAGTATTAACACATTCAACTACTTTTTTTTTTAATTGCTGTACTACTTATAAGAAACAACAGCAATGCTTCTCAGCAAAATAAGACCAATGTAAAAATCAACACACAATTTTAAAAGGAGATACTCTCAAATTTAAACTATGCTTTTCCAAGATTACATGCAAGCACAAGCAATTAATGTCGTGCTCAAGAGAGATGTGTGCACAAGTGCTTGCAAAAAAAAAATAAATCTGTAGAAATAAAACCAATGCTGGGTTGTTTTAGTGCCACAGCCAAAAGACGTCGGGCTTTACATTACAGACTAACAGCCCACCCCTAGGGTAACACCATACTCACCCAGGTGGTAGACTGCAGCACAGACTCCTTCTGCTGCTCAGCACTACCCAGTCCCTCCATGGCATCATACGTACCACTCCTTAGACCCAGCATTTCAGAGCAGTTTGGTCCACAGCTCAGACAAAAATACAGAATTTAGTTTTTGGCCACATGGGCTCCTACTTCCACGTTCTCTGCATTATTCACTGGAGGCCTCTGTCCTGTCCCTCCTCTCCCACCCAGGCCTGTAGGAACCTCAGCAGGCCAAGAAGCTGTATGGCAGAGGAAGGAAAAGAGGGGGGGAAAGGTGTCTTGATGTGATACGTCTGTAATAACAATCTCTCCATCACCTATTGGGAAGCATGAGTGCCCACATCAGGCCTTTGTTGCTGGAGAAAGCTTTATTCAAAACATGGAGAAACTGTTTCACAAAGGCTCTCTCACAAGACTTCAAGTTGGATCCTGAAAGTAGAAAGTCACACATACACAGAGTTATAGTGTGCCACCGCCCCCACTTCATCCCTAATTATCCTGGACTCCAAAACAGGAACTTTCCTTAAAGTTAGGTTACCTTAGTTAGTTACCTTAAAATATCTCTACCAATTACAAACTGGTAGGAAGCCAAGAAGAGAGCTCTTACAATTGGAGCACTAGAGAAAGAGATGTACAATATGGACTAGTAACAACAATATGATTAAAACTTAATACACTCCCTGTACCACTAAATTCGGTATTAGCAGTTACATCAATCCAAAGTACCTTCCTTGCTTGTTTGCAACAAGATTGGCCATGAAGCCATCCTATAATTTGATGCAACTGAAGCCACAAAAGGAAAAGAAAAAAAATTAAATTAAACACTATTAGTTGTTAGTGCTATGAGTTCTCCAGCTATGAGACAGCTCACCAGAACACATTTTCAGAAAGAAAACAGAAACTAGAGCTCAACACTTCAAACACTGAAAGCCAGATGAAATCTCAGCAACTCAGCAGTGTCATCCCAGCCCTAAAGAAATACAGGAAAGAAGTGAAACAAGATCAGAAAAGCCTCTGTGAATTATAAAAAACAAACACCAAATGTATACAATATATACTTCACTCATACACCTAGTAATATTTAATCAGGAAGAACTTCAGCCTCTTGACAATAGCTAGCTCTTCACTCCACAGAAAGCCAAAGCAACATCTCAAAACAACAAATGAATGTCAAACAACTTCCTGTTGTGGTGTTCATAAATTAGACAGAACTGTACTGCTACAAGTAGTTGGGCTCTCGACAGAAAAATAAAAGCAAAGAAATAATTGCTGACTTTCATCTTTTTCAAAGAAGCTTGGTTTTCTCTCTTTTGACTTCAAAGTGCATGGGATCTTCTTATCCATGGAATTGTAACTTATTTTAAAATAGCATCAAACTAGGATCCCCTAAAAAAGACAGTTCCCATTCATTTTTGCTGTACTTCAGAGAAATTTTGCACTTCAGAAATGTAACCCACAACATTTAACTCACATAGACACTACAGAGTGTAAAGAACTCGGTCTCACTTGTTGAGGAATGGCTTAAGGATAAGGGTCACAGTTCGACTGAGCAATTGTACGATCAGAGCCTGTTTTAGTAGGCCCTAGTTGACATAAGTTGAGTGGAATTTTCCTCTACATGCAGTTCAGCTGCTACGTTCAGTTTAGCAAGAACAGGCTGGCCTTGCAGGACAAGAAGTGAAACAACTTTGAAGGAGTAGCGCTTGGCAAGCGGGATGCGCTGATATAGTTTTTACTGACTCTGTGAGAACCGCAAGTAAGAGAACAATGCAAGTCTGTAAACACAACCTTTACTATTGTAACCAATCATTTAATGCCTAAATAGTATGATGTAACTAATCGCCAATCACGTAATGCCTAAAAGGCACAACTAACTGTATAAATGAGTGTTATCTGGGCTAATAAATCGATTCATGATCTATCACTCATATTGAGTCGGCTTCATGAGTCCTCCGCCGCTCGCACTCACTCCTACCTAGTATTACCAGCACAGCTCTCACTAATGGGAGTTGCAACCACATATGCTCTAGAAACTGCTCAGCACACACCACAACAAAATAATGCTGTCTGGTTTTCCCCAACACATCTAACGACACAAGCAACCTGACAGCAGTAAGCGTTCCACAGCACCGCTCTCAAGAGTACCAGTAACCCTGATAGCTGCAGTACATCTGCCCAGCTCACCATTAAGAAAGCAAGTTTCCCAAAGCAGATGCAGTCCAGCTGAGGCACAAATTTCTAAGCAGGTTTATTTGCTCACGATTCCCAAAACTGAATAACCTGTAAATCAGAGTAAATCAACTCACATACTACTATAAGGTATTGAGGTTGAGTTGTGTCTGGTTACCTGTACTACCTCATTTAAAGCTAATTCAAAGCTCTGAAACACAGATACCAAGGGGCAATCACTGCTTTGGTGAAATTATCTAGACCACTTGGTTTGCAGTTCCATAAGATGACCAAGTCACTGAGCAGCTCACTGACAGAGGAAGGCTCTCTTTTCACGCTCTAGTGCAAACACCCTTCTTCCCTCAGTCCTGAGGTTCACTAAATAACCTAGAATTTGTGTAATCTCCCTAAAAAAAAAAAAAAAAAATTCACACAGGAAAAAAGACAAAAAATATTTTCTACCAGTTTAGTAAGTGGAATTGGCCTTCTGGAACCAGATAAGCCACACACCTAATGCAAGGTAAGCAGCAAAACTCCTTTCAGTTAGTAGACAGATCTCAGGTGTAATTAAAGTTCCTTTGAAACTGACCAAGTGCAGGTTGCCACTTCATTTTTCTCACCTCCCACAGGTGAGAGAGCATGCAGTTGCATGACATTTTCTCACCTCCCACACTCACCCACTCATTTCGGACAGTACTTACAGTCAGATCACAAAGCTAAGCATTACCAATATTCACCAAACCCTCCTCAAAAAACATTGGTTTTCAGACAATTCATGACATAGCTACACAACTGTTGTAACTTACGATAATACAGCCTATATTTACATCCGTATCAAATTACATGTTACTGCACTGAGCTGGTTTTCCACTCCAGTTGTGGAGAAACATGAAAATCTAACAACAAGCTATGGTCATTAATGCCGTATGTTTTGTTTAGCTAACGGTCAGTTTATCATGTTTTGGGTTTTTCCCCCCCATGGTAGACAAAACTTCAGTAAGCCTATGTGTTGCAAGAAAGTGATTTGCGATAATATAAGAAACATCTGTCTACAAGTATTCGAGTTCTTGTATATACATCAACATGACAATAAGAGTATATGGACAAGCTTGCCTTTCCTGTAAATATATATAACTTGGTTTCAACTTGTCTCACATCACTCTTTTTATTTAACTGAAGACAGTTACTGAGTGTTTGAAATCAACACTAAACACACATAATCTCTAGCTACTTACTGCTCACAGGGTCCCTTCCTGAAGAGCTCAGTCAACCATGTGAATCCCACTACCTTAACCCGCAATCTAGGCAGAACCTTTACACGTGCATACCAAAGTACTGCCCATTACTGTGTTATCATTACATGTTCACTTATTTGAGACCACCTTTAATCCTACAGCAAAACATTCCTTGCACTGTTATGGCCTACGCTGCATGGAAGATGCTCTTGGATAGCAAGTTATTTTCTTACATTTCAGTTGCTTCAATTATTGTGCAACAAGTTAATCCCTCCTTCCTTCTCTGGGTGCTCTCTCTGGTACACATCGGAACAGTGAAATATTTCAAATTAAAGGTCAGGAATTCCCCAGCCAGTCTTCACCTCACTTCCCAGGACCACTTACAGTAACAAAAATATGCTTCTAGAAGTTTTGAGTCAGCTTGCTCAAAACAGTTCCTCTAGCTCATTACAGCACACGACATAGGCACCATGGGAACCCCCAAAACAGCTGTTACAACTTTGCTTGCATTAACACAACACGGTTCTTCTGAGTAGCTGCTCAGTGCACCAGTTGCAGAATGCCACACACCTGCACAGCAATTCAAGCCCTAGGCTGATACCAAGCTATTACTGACATTAATTTTACTGCCTAATCTGACCGCAGAAACTCATTTCAGAACATAGATGAGAAGGAAGACCAACTGAGGACACAAAGGAAAAGAGAAAGAGAAATAATCTCTTAAATATTAACAATGCATAAAATGATTTCCTTGCCAGAATTACATTTACTATAAATACTCACACTCTATAGAATACCTGATGATAATCAATGACCATTATATCCTTTACTAGTATCTTCAATAAACCACATAACTTCCTTCAAAGTTACATTTATCACATTGTCTTCTCTTACAGGAAAGCAAATGTACTTCAGCACTGGAAAACTGCCACAGTGAAATCTCAGCCCGCCAAAGACAAACGTAAACAAGGAGCTTCCTAAATGAACTAACATGAACACCAGCTCATGCTTCCTAAACAGCATGATTACCTCACAGCACAGATCAGAATACAGACAAGGCCGGCCAGGGACTTTGACATGCTTGACACTTACATGAGTCCCCATAACAAACATTCACCCCACCAACGGAAATCCAACCTGAAACCTGACCATAAACAGACCAAGTAACACAACAGTAACAGGAAACCAGACTTACTGAATTGCCCTTGTTCAACATTACCAGGTAACACAGCTGTGTCAAACTTCACAATGAAAACTGTTGTTACATTAATTGCTGAAGTTACACATTAGGATTTTTCCTCTACCATCCTGGCTCTACAGTTTTCTCTGGTTTGCAGCTACTGCAAATGATGAAAGCATGACACACTTCCAGCCAAAAGCAGGAACTTAATACAGTCTGTAGGATGCTGGAGTGATGGAGCAATTCAGAGCTCTGCTCTTGCATCTGCCATTTAATTGATGACATTATGAAATGGCTAAGGATCAAGTCTTTCACTACTTTACCTGCATTGTCTATTTAGCTCTTTTCTCAAGGAACATGAAATCTGCAGTAATCTGAAGCCAAGGCCACACTGCTCTGTTGTAGGAAGTGCATTCTACCTAAAATTAACAGCTAGGAGTTTGGTGTTAACTGCATCATCACACACTTTTGAAACTTTAGCTGAGGATCCAGCTATTTGCATGCTACTACCTGGTTTCACCTTCATTACTCATGAGCAAGTCCAGTAGTTGGAAATTCATTTGCACAGACTTTTTTTCTATGTAACGTTAAAGCTTGTGTGCCTAGAATGCCTTTAGTCCTCCACTCACAGATCTTAACTGAAGCCCTAATTCCTCACCTCGCCACCATCAATTTGAAGCCAACGATAACCCGACACGCCTGTTTGAAAAGACTGTCTCCACAGTAGCCCAGCTACCAGCCGTGGCTATCCTGCTATAAACACTGGCAAAGGCACAGTGCACTCGTGTGAATCCCGGCGGTTCTCCTGCACCACCCCCTCATGCCAACAGCCCCTGCGCTACATG